TGATGCTTCCAGAAGTTCTTTTATTGCCCAGGATTGTTTTGGCTATCCTGGGTTTTTTGCTTTTCCAAATTAAGTTGAGTACAGTTCTTTCGAGGTCTGTGAAGGATTTTGCTGGGATTTTGATGGGCATTGCATTGAATCTGTAGATTGCTTTCGGTAGGATTGTTATTTTTACTACATTAATTCTATCTACTCAGTAAATTGTCATTTTTACTATATTAATTCTATCTACCCAAGAACATGGGAGGTCTTTACACTCGTATCTTCTTCAATTTCTTTCTTAAAAGATTTAAAGTTCTTGTCATACAAGTCTTCCACTTGTTTGGTTAGAGTTACTCTGAGATATTTTACAATATTTGTGGCTATTGTGAAGGGTGTTGATTCTCTGATTTCTTCCCCAATCCTTTTATCACCTGTGTAAAGGAGGGCTACTGATTTTTTTGAGTTATTCTTGGATCCTGCTACATTGTTGAAAGTGTTAATGAGTTGTAGAAGTTCCTTGGTAGAATTTTTGGGATCACTTATGTAAACTATCATATCATCAGCAAACAGTGAGGGTATGACTTCTTCTTTTCCATTTTGTATCCCCTTAATCTCTCTTTGGTGTCTTATTGCTCTAGCTAGGAACTCAAGAACTACAATGAATAGATATGGAGAGAGTGGATAACTTTGTCTTGTTTCTGATTTCAGTGGAATCGCTGGGAGTTTCTCTCCATGTAGTTTGATGTTCCTTGTATCCCTGCTCTCTCCAAGACCTTTATCATGAAGGGATGTTGTATTTTGTCAAATTTTTTTTTGGCATCTAATGAAATGATCATGTGGTTTTTATTTTTCTGCTTGTTTATGTGGTGGATTACGTTGACAGATTTTCGTATGTTGAGCCATCCCTGCATCTGTGGGATGAAGCCATCTTGGTCATGGTAGATGATGGTTCTGATGTGTTCTTGGATTCGATTTGCTAGTATTTTATTTAGTATTTTTACATCAATGTTCATGAGTGAGATTGGTCTGTAATTCTCTTTCTTAGTATTGTCTTTCTGTGGCTTGGGTATCAGGGTAATTGTAGCCTCATAAAAAGAGTTTGGCAATGTTCCCTCTGTTTCTATTATGTGGAATAATTTGAGGAGTATTGGTATTAGTTTCTCTTTGACAGTCTTGTAGAATTCTGACCAAGCAGTGTTTTAATGAATACAGTTTCTGTGTGGCTATTTCGGGTGTAAGCTAGCCGGGTGGCCTGGACAAACAAAGGGCCCCTCTCCCTTGTAACAGAAAGGTTTAAAACACAAGGCTGAGATTTGGCAGCAAACTGTTTTAAACTCTAACTTTACACTGACTATAAATGAAGAATGACACAAACTCCACATTTCTAGGAAATGGCCACAAATATGAAAAATATTCATTAAAAATAGAAGGATAAACACCAAAAGTCAATAGATTCTAAATTTTATAAAAATTCATACACTTTTCCTTACAATGATTAATTTGAATAATAAAAATACTCAGTATTTTCATCCAAAGTCAGTTCTAGATCTAAATCCTAAAAACTGTGAAACACTTTCCCTCTTATTCTTTTCCTTAAATACTAAACAAAACTAAGCTAAGAACAAAAGAGAAAGGCTGAGAGGAGACTGAGAGAGTGGGAGAGAGCTCAGGAACACATGGTGTGTTAGCACACTGAAGGCTTTAAACCGAAAAACAGTCTGTGCAAGAAGGACTTGTAATATTCCCATAAAATAAGCCATGACACCCTGGAACCTCTCCCTTTTCAAATATTGAAAGTCTTTCTTTTCCATAATTTAACTATTTTTATAAGAAAATAAAATTTTGTACATATAGAAACATTTTGTAACATACAACAGTCTCAGATCTGAGGTATTTTAAGGCTGTGTGTAAGTGTTGCATGGGGTGACATCATGAGCCGTGCAAAAATACATGTGTGTCTTTAGAAGCAAGGCTGCAGTGAACTCACACAGTGCACCTTAGGCAAGCACTGCCAGAAGCAGAGAGGTCCTGTCTTGTGCCTGCAGGACAAAGGACGTGCAGAGGAGTGAGAAAGGCTGGAGCTTACTGTGTTTCCCAGCATGGGGCACAGAGCTCACAGACCCTTTGTCAACAATCTGTGATGGGAAAGGTGATGCCACTTTCCTGCATGTGGAACCTAAGTGGGCACTCAGATAATCCATGGCTGTGCACTCAAGGGCAGAGGTATTTATTAGTTATAACTGGCCTACAGACTTCAAATCATCAGCTGAGAGTCACCAGAATCAGTGAGATCAACCCTGTGTCAAGAAGTTGTAGTTTCAAAAGGGACTTACATGAACTGACGCCTTACAGCTAAAAATAATGATAGTCTATTTACTGTTGTCTAAATTTTAGTCTTAGCAAGCATTAAACTCGATGATATCATAAGGAAAAATACCTGTTGGTTTGAAATAAGCATCTTCATCCATCTTTATTAAGTCTAGTGATGATAAATCTTTCAGATTCTTCAAACACAATTCTGTTTAATTATAGAAAACACATTTTAAGTTTTGTAAAATAAGGAAGACATGAAAACAGAATTTACTATTAAATATGTGTGCTACAGCATAATGGCTCTGGAAGAGCTGGAATTTTTTAAAAAGAAAAAAAAACCTTGAAATATATATGTAAGAAAAACTCTGTTGTAATTCTTAGAGGCTACTGATCAAGAAGCATAATCATTTAGGAAGCAGCCACTGTCCATTCTGAGACTTAAGGCAGACCTCCAAGGGAACTGTCAGAAAACACTACGCCCAGCATCCTTCGACACGAAGGAGACTGAGACATCTCAGAACGGTTACCCTGACATCCCACACAGAGTCACAGAGCAACTCTGTCCTCAGAGTTGTTCACAGAACCTTCATTCCATACTCCACGTCTGGGGGAAGAGACTTCACACAAAGAGGCCAAGAAGAGTCTAAGCACTCAGGGCAGGGCATGTTCTCCCATGCTTATCAACATGGATGACGGCTGTTTACTCAGTCATGTGACATCACAGATGTCCACTTCTTTCATGAGACAGTAAGAGAGGACAATTTCCCCCAGGTCTGGAGGTCTTCATTTTCAGAGGCTCCCATGACATGTAAAACTTTGATTAAACAATTTATTATGTTTCAACTTTTGTTATAGGAAAATTGTCCATGGGTTTTGCAATGAATGAGAAATAAAAACTATTTTCCTCTCCTATAGCAGTATCTTTTTATTAATGTATACAATACATATTCCTCTATACAGACAACTCACTGAATCAACTGATAATGGAAAATAAGGTAAATATTAATAGTAATTGTGCTAACTTAACAGAAAATTAAACACTGAAGTTATCAGAGCTGAGCAAGACACAATTTTACCTATCTGTTTTCTTATGTGCAATTATCATTGTCATTAATGTATTATTTAATTTTAAATTTTCAATTACAAAATGATGCCGGAGAATAACAGAACTATTTAATAAATACTTTCATAGCAGCATGATAAGTACACGTGACTACTGCCATGTTAAATGCCATATGTGCTCTTCTCTACTGCTGAGACAGGGTCTCACCACGCAGGCCTGTCTGTCTGGAGCTCACACCTCCTGTCCTCCTCCTGCATCTTTGAGCACTAGGACTACAAGTATACGCACCACACCCAGTAACGTAGTTATTCTTCAAGGGAGGCAATTTATTACTTTATCCTTATCTCTGCATTTTATTTTCTATATACAAATATTCAGAGACCAAATTAAAGTTAATATTTTAGTAGATCAAAAATTCATTGTTTTTACTGAAAGTCTCAACACAATGAAGACACATTAAAGATAGATAATGAAATATTAAAGTTAAATTTCAAAAAGTTGAAATTTTAAAAGGAAATATTGCACAGATTTGGATGAAAACCCCACAATAAATCTAGAATTATATTTTAAATGAAAAAATTAAGGTTAGAAAGGAAAATAAAATGTTTATTAGCAATGCTTTCAGAGATCAGGATCATTTTAAAGATAAAACCCAAATAAGTCAAATTAATATTTTATATTATATATAAATATATATATATGGGCAGATATTCTAACAGAATTATTCAACAAATATATAAAAGCTACACATGCCAAGTTTGTGATGAAAAACAAATAATTCAACATTTTTTAATCTGATAAGTTTCCTTATAAAAGTAATTTACATATCTGTATTTCTTTAGTAGCTGACATTTTTCCTAAGAATTTATATAACATATAGAGATAATGGAAGGAAATATATCTAACCTTGTAATTTTGCTTCGATTCCATCTTTGTTCAATCCAGATACAAAACCTGTGTATGTCATGAAAATTTATTTTAAAAAATGAAATATATTTAATTAATCTTTTAGGTTCAATTTAAACTTCACATAAAGAAGAACATCTACTTTCATATTAACTAATCACAATCTAACGAGCTCAGAGTTCAGCTCATAGAACACAACCACTATTTTGAAATCTTTTCAATATCAACTGGTATATTTTGTTTTTTAAACTGTATTAAGTAATCAGAAATACAATATTTCAACAAAAACATGTAGAGTCAGTATTAAAGATTTATTTTTTATTATTTTTAATTATGTGCTTGTGTATTTGTGTGGGGGTAAGTACACTTGAGGCAGGTGTACATAGTCAAAATTTGGAAATGATCTAATTTCCATCTACAAAACAGTTGACTGGACTGTGAGATATTGATACAACTGGGGTTATAATAACAAAATTATTACCAAGAGACTCAATTATATGAAGCAATCTCATGAATACTATGAATTTAAGGAAACTGGGCAGTGGTGGATTGTGCCTTTAATCCCAGCACTCAGGAGGCAGAGGCAGGTGGATTTCTATGAGTTTGAGGCTGGTCTGGTCTACAAAGCGAGTTAAGGACAGTCAGAGCTGTGTTACATGGAGAAACTCTGTCTTGAAAAAGAAAAAAAGGAAGGAAGAAAAGAAGAAAGGAAGGAAGGCAGGCAGGAAGAAAAATCAAATACTCTATATACTGAGCTGGATTGTGACTATGTCAGTGCCTGTGTCTATGTGTGTATATTTAATTGACTTGTGCCCTTTCCTGTGATGATGCGCTACAGAAATCACTATAAAATGAAGCGCTCGTGAGAAGAAGGAAGTGCAGATGAGACACAGATGAGAAGACCTAAGGTAAGCCCTGCGGGGCTGTGGGAACACAGTGCTCTCAGCCACTGCTCACAACTATGCAACCTATTAAGGACAGCAACTTAGCAACAGCTATTGCATTTTAAAATGCATGTACCCGCTGATCTAGAAACTTCATTTCCAAGAATGCAGCATGCAAATGAATTTACACATGTGAAAATGCACTGTTGATAATAGCAGATAAGTTTAAGATGAACTTGTTCACCAACTAGAATGGCTTAGAAATGACACATGGGGCTGTTGTGAGCTCAGAGGGTCTGAGTTTATTCCCAGCACCCATGTCAGCAGCTCAAACTGCCTGTAACTCTAGCTCCAGGGGATCAAATGTCCTCTTCTGGGCTTTGTGGGCACCTGCACTCAGGTGCATACCCAACCCACGCCCCATACACAAACATAAAAATAATATACAGCTAAAATGGAATGTTATTACCTATTTTTAAAAGCTTCCAAGTCATTGTGGAAGTTCCTCAAAAAGGGGGAGATGGGCCAGAGAAATATCCCTTCAGACAGGAAAGCTTGCTAGCTGGGCAGTGGTGGCACACACCTTCAATCCCAGCACTCAGGAGGCAGAGGCAGGAGGATCTCTGTAAATTCAAGGCCAGCCTGGTCTACAGAGCGAGTTAAAAGACAACCAGGGCTACACAGGGAAACAGAAACAAACTAAAACAACAACAACAAAAGGCTTGCTGTTCAGTCGTGAGTACTGGAATTCGGATCCCAGTATCTACAGGACAAGCTGAGCATCCTACATAAGCCCATAAACACAGTCCCAAGGGGGTGGGGCAGGAGGATGATTGGGCTGCCTATCTTCCAACCCAGCTGAGACAACATGAGCTGCAGGTTCAGCTAGAGAGAGTAGCAGAGGAGGACATCGGAGGCTCTCTTCTACCTGGAGCACTCACCCCACCCACCTGTACATGTGCACTCACACAGACACAAATACACAAAAATATGTAAGTAGAAGCAGCAAATCTTTAGGTATTTATTTAAGAAACAAGTAGAACAGAGTTAGATTATGACCCAGTTTTACCACTCCTAGGTAATACACAAAGGACTCAGCCAACATACTACACAGAGAAACATGCTAATCCATGTACATTGCTGTGTTCATCACAACAGAAAGAAATGGAAAGTTCATCAACAGATGAATGGATAAAGAAAGTATAGTAATCTATACACTGCATTTTTTCACCCATAAAGAGAAATGAAATCATGACATTTGCAGGAAAATGAATGGAACTGGAGACACTATGTTAAGTGAAATAAGCCAAGCTCAGAAAGCCCAAGACTACATTTTATATCATGCACGTGCGTATCTACCCTGATTTGAGTATGTATGTGTGATGAAGGTAGACGATGAGAAGGAGAGCTCTTAGGATGGTGGAAAAGGTGGTGGATCAGGTGACATCTCGGCACCAGGTGGAGATGGAGACAGGGAGGGCAGTGGGCGGGAAGAAGAGTAAGAAAGCTCAATGGCAGAAAAGCGTGACGATGTCACAGAGAAGCCCCACTCTATACGCTGGTCTAAAGCCAACTGATCAGAAAGCCTCCAAGACACATGGGGACTAGAAAGAGCAGTGCAGAGTAATCTCACAGATGACGGCAGTGGCTCACAGCTCCAAATGTTGAGCAGCTAAGGCAGTAGATTTCTGTGATTCGCAGTTTGCCAGGTTACAGAGCAAGAACTTATCTCTTTAAAAATGTTCGTAAGAATTTTGATACTCTTGCCTTCAAAAGTTGAATTCTTTAATCCTTCCTGTCATGTGGCCAGGAATAATAACTTGTTTTAAATAAGTGATAATGTGTGACCATGGCTACAAATAAGGAAATGCAGTTTTTATTTAGCCAGACTATCTTGTATTATTCATCTTGCAGGAAGAGAGCTACAGCAAAAGTCCACATTGAAACAACTAAGCCTCCAACCAAGAGCTACAAGATACAGTCTTCTTGGGTGAGAGTCCTCAGGCCCTGCACAGCCTTCAGACAACTGCAGCCTTGACAGACGTGTTGAGGACACTGGCTGACACTTGGCTTCATAGACCCCACAAGATAAAATTCTGGCTGTTCCTTAAAGTCATGTTTTAAGTAATTTGTTGAAAAACTAGTACAATGGACATGGCTTGCATTAAAAAATGGAAAATAAAATTATACCTTATTTGCTTTGTGTTTTTAAAATTGAAAAATTAACAGTCACAAATTTAGAACAAGAGAGCAGCTAAATGATAAACATGAAAAAGATTCAAAACTTAAAACTTTATTTTAAATTAGTTTAGGTACTTAAGGTTTTTTTTTTCATTGGGTCCATTTTTAACAGCGTTCATTTTAAAACATTAAAAACATTATAAAACACAGAGCAGACAGTGTGTTCCCATTTTCGTCCACTCTCGCCTCTAAACACATTGATGACTGGTAACTATTTTTCCTTATTATTTTTGCTTACTATTTTTGCTTATTAATTTCTGTAATCTATTCTCTAACAATATAAATAAGAACCCAGTTAGTTTGAAAAATATCACTGAATTTCTAGGTCAAAGTAACGAACCGTAATGAGATGGGTTTTTCAGAGCTCTGATGTACAGGAGGGTGGACCGGATCCAGTCCAGAGCAATGTTCACGTCTGTGATGGTGTGCAGCACTATCTCTGCATTTAAATGCTCAATAAGATGTCTGTGCAAACTAATGGGGGGAGAGACTCTGCATTACTAATGTGAATTTCAAAAACATAAAACTTACTTTTTAAACTTTAATAATATATAATATATGTGAGTTGCTACTTTAATAATTCATGAAAAGTAATTTTAAAAAGTATAGGAGGAAATCCTAAAAAGTTCAACATCTGTAATGAGATCTGGGGCCCTCTTCTGGCCAGCAAGCATATAGACAGAACACTGTATACATAATAAATAAATAAATCTTTAAAAAAAAACCCTGAGATTTCTCCTTACTTCATAGTTCTAGAAGATACATTTTTGTATAAGAAGTCAGCACGGTGATAGTAGTGTGGTTGTGGATTATATCCGATTTTCCCCAAAGAGGCCCATTGACTACATACTGAAAACAGTCCCAGACATTCATATTCTCTCATTATAAAACAAAGTTTACATGTGAAAATATTTCTCTTATTAAAAGTGAGTAATTACAAATTTAATACTCTTAAGTTATAATAGAATGATAATTAGCAAGACTTTATTACCTTTTAGAACTTTATAAAAAAGATATGTACTATTGTGTGCTAAAAACCAACACCAAATAAAACTATGTTGTCAATAAATAAATCTATTTAATTCCTTAAATGACATGCTTTATAGTTAAATAGTTAAGATTATTTCAAGAAAACAGCCTCAGAAAACTCCCCAACCAAATTCCTTCCCATATAGTAAAGGAAACAACAACCCATTAGTTTAATTCTCTCTGAACTGTTCTTTGTTACCTGCTCTCTACGGTGTCGTTACACGCTAACATCTGAACGTACTTCTCTCTTGTGCTTAACCGGGTCATAATAACTGCAGTAGCTGTCGTGTCAAACTGGAATAGTAGCCAAAGCACAGAGATCAGCAAAGACTAGAACACAGTATAGGGCCATCCTTTCCTCAGAGCTTATATTTCACACGGAATAGTTCCTGGTCTTAAATAGCAGGCCAAAAGGACTAAAATCTGCTTCTGAATTTTAATATTTACAAAAAGTTTAATTAAAAAACTCTCCCAAGAGTATTACTGCAAATTCCACTTTTGTTTCAATGTAATATAATTTTGACAATGTTAATGTCAAATCTTGTAAACTGAAATAAAAACTTAAGATTTAGTATAGTTTCCATATTTGCTGACGAGTTTTGTGTCACTTGACACAAGCTAAAGTTATCTGAGAGTTGGGCACCTCCATTAGGAAAATGCCTCCGTAAGACTGGGCCGTAGGCAACCTGCAGGGCATTTTCTTATTTAGTGATTAATGTGGGAGGGTCTAGCTTATTGTGAGGGGCACCATCCTGGGGTTGTGGATCTTTGTGAGTTCAAGGCCAGCCTGATATACAAGAGCAAGTTCCAGGCCCGGCTCTAAAACTACAGAGAAACCCTGTCTGGGGAAAAAAAAATTCCTTTATCAGTACACTCACTCACACATCCACCTACATTCAGAGAGTGGTTTAGGGGGCTGAAGAGATGGTTCAGAGGTTGAGAGCACTGGCTGCTCTTCCTGAGGTACTGAGTTAAATTCCCAGCAACCACATGGGTGGTTCACAACCATTGATAAAGAGTTCTGAAGCCCTCTTCTAGCCTGCAGGCAGAACACTGTATACATAATAAATAAATAAACCTTAAAAAAAAACCCAGAAAGTAGAAAAAGACACGATCTCCTGAGTAAATTGGGATCATGGGGACCTTAGGAGAAGGATGAAGGGGAGGGGAGTAACAGGGAGGGGAGCAGAGAAAAATGTAGAGCTCAATAAAAATCAATAAAAAAAAAAATAACTGCTGGCTTGGTTTGCAAACACCTTAGCAGTGACTGAGAGGGAAACAAAGGCCCAGAAAAAGGCTCCTTTACAAGTGAGGGAAGGCAGTGATAATCACTACTACAAAACAGAGAGTAGTTCAGACAGAGTCGGAATAACAAGAGTACTTAAACTCTTCTAATCTCAGTTAGTGAGTCTTGTTTATTCCTCCATTAAAGCTGATTTTTAAATTACATTATTTAAAAAATGTAAATTAAAAACACACAACCCCCCTTCTTTGCTATATTTAGAATGTTAAAAAGAGAAAGTGATTACCCCTTACCTGAGGTCTGCCGGCTCTCCCAATCATCTGCAGAATGTCTGTCTCACTGTACTCCTCAAACATGCCTCCAATGTAGTGCATCGTAGACTTTATAACTACCAGGTGAGCCGGCAAGTTCACTCCCATGGCAAGAGTACTGGTGGTAACTATCAGATTGGAGAATAATCAAGCGATATAATTTTATTATCCTAGGAAGGTGTTTCTTTTTTTAATATTTATTTATTTATTATGTATATAATATTCTTGTCTGTGTGTCTGCTTGCAGGCCAGAAGAGGGCACCAGATCCCATTACAGATGGTTGTGAGCCACCATGTGGTTGCTGGAAATTGAACTCAGGACCTTTGGAAGAGCAGGCATTGAGCCATCTTTCCAGCCCCAAGGTGTTTCTTATAAAAGATATACTGATATAAATGGAATAAAAACTAAATTTAGAAAAAGGAATATAGGACTTTATAATCTAAAATAATAATTTACCCTAAAAATAAAATAGCTAATAAGATCTTTTCAAATTGCACCACATTCAATTAAATAATAAGAATTAACCTTTCCAAGGAGGTTAGTATGATACCTGCATTCACAGCTCGTTTTCAGTTCTTAGAAGAAATTCATCAGAACACTTAAGCTTTTCCTCTTAAAAATAACTTTTCAAAACATTTTAATATATGCAAGAGATATGTTTTACTTACAAAGAACTGGGAGATCTCCAGAAGTAAACAGTTCTTCAACCAGTTTCCTATCTGATAGCTCCAACCCGGCATGGTGATAGCCGACACCATACACCACGACATCTGCAGCAGGAACACACCCGTCAGCCACTGCTCCCACTTCACACCATCCCAGCACAGTGACAGCCGACACCATATACCACGGCATCTGCAGCAGGAACACACCCGTCAGCACTGCGCCCACTTCACACCCATCCCAGCACAGTGACAGCCAACACCATACACCATGACATCTGCAGCAGGAACACACCCGTCAGCCACTGCTCCCACTTCACACCATCCCAGCACAGTGACAGCCGACACCATACACCACGACATCTGCAGCAGGAACACACCCGTCAGCCACTGCTCCCACTTCACACCATCCCAGCACAGTGACAGCTGACACCATACACCATGACATCTGCTGCAGGAACACACCCATCAGCCACTGCTCCCACTTCACACCATCCCAGCACA